AGAGAGAGAGAGAGAGAGAGAGAGAGAGAGAAGTGAGAATTGCATGGCAGATTAACCCAGATGCATCGCAAACGAGTGCGTTCATGCGTGCGACGTGAATTCTCATCAGCTTTGTAAAATTACAGTTTGCTTCACATCCATTTCATTTCGTTGTTAACGTAACCATCGCCGCCAGTCAGATTTCCACATCTTAATCGAATATTGTAGAACTTTGAACTGTGTCACGTTGTAAGTATACACCAACGTCGAAGAAGACTTTGCGACTTGCTTCGTTTCGCTGCTTCGGTACCTGAATAACATTCAAAAAAAAAAAAAAAAAAAAAATAGTAACAAAGCTGAAATATCAATAATTTCAGGTGGACTCGACGATGCAGAAGCAGTGTGGCACGACCATCACGCCAAACGCGCCAACGCGGGCCAACGAGCAGGGCACGTGCCCGACGTGCAATCGGCACTTCGGCGTCAAGGCGTACGACAGGCACGTGGCCTGGTGCAAAGAAAGGATCAACCGGGTGCCGGTCAGCCCGGCGACGAACATCGCGAAGGAACGCCTCGAAGCACGGATGAAGTATCGGGCGCCAGCGGTGAAGAGTCGTCGGCAAGCGACTCGCGAGAAATACTCGCCGGGCTCGGCGATCGCCCTGAGTTCCGCCAACAAAACGTCGCCGACGATGCTACCAGCTAACAAGGCCAAGGAGAGCGTATCGGCGCCGAGTTGCAACAGGAGCCCTGTTAAACAAACGAACAGATCGGCTGCCGTGTAAGTTTCTTGTTCCTTGGCTTTTGCCTCTCCAAATTACCCCGAAGAGTACAGCACTTTCCCCCTGCTTTGGATTGAAAACCCCGTAAACAGAGTCAGCCAGAGTACAATTTTCTCACTTTCGTATCCAAAGATAGATGGGTTTTCTTTCTCTTCGTGTTGTCGAACAGTCGGTGAAACATTTCCGTGTGTTAGAATTACGTTATAAAGTTTACTTACTGTGTATGTTTTTTTTTTTTCTTACGTGGAGGAAATCTTCGATGAGACACCTGAGTAGTTTTTTTACCTCCACGATGACCGTCCTCTGTACGTTGGGAGAGCTCTTCTCGTGCTGTTGTCCTAAAGGACAATATCTTTTTTTCCGCCCGAATAGGGGGTTCGAACCCTGGACCCCCTCAGATTAAGAGTCTGATGCTCCACCGACTGAGCTATCTCCACCTCTACTGTCTATGTTTAGATTAAGTATTATAATTTATAATTTATGGGTGGAACTTTGCTCTCTTTCGAAACGAAATCAAAATGAAATTTTCAAGCAACGTGTTACACTCGACAACGAGACTCGACTAAAAGTTTCTCAATTACAGGAGACGTCCTAGTCAAACGAAGGAGTCGTCCAGTCCCACGGTCCCGACCAAGTCACGAATACCGGATCGTATAAGCAGGTGCGTTGTCTGCGAATGTAACGGTAATCGTGTCAGCAACGTGTCTTATATCGTTAAGATACTCGGAGCTTTAAACAATTAGTTTAAACACGCGTTTGGTAGTAACGTGCATGAGGAGAAGGAAAAGGGACAAGGTTGTTTGTTACTGCTGCAAACATTTAAGCGATTAATCGTTAATTAAATACGGAGCGGACATGTCGGAAAGCCTGATGACCTTCTCCTGATGTCAGGCACGCATCCTTGATCCAATTTCCTCATCCTCAGGCTGCTGGATGACGAGACCGCCGGACCTACTCCTCCTGTTAAAAGAACCTCTCAGCTCCTTGTCCCGCCCTTAAAACGTAAGAAAGAAACCGTCGACGAGTGCAACAGCGTCGCCACGCCGAGATCGGGCGAGAAGAGAAATCAGCCGAGAAGGACACCGGCGAGAGTGAAACGAGAGGACGAGACCGCGTGCCAGAGAGCGAGGCAGGACGAAAGAATGCATCAACCAATGCTACATTCTGCCCGGTCGTTCAAGGCCACGACAAACATCGTCTCGGCTAGAAGCCAAGGGAACCCAAAGCTCAACGACGTCTCGATCAACGACGATATCGTGGGCGTCACTGTGAAACCCTGCAACATACACAGAGAGAGCCAGCTGGTAACGTGGAAACAGCTCGTGGAGGCAGGCCAAGCGAAGAATCTGAAGGGAAACGTTGAATTCCCGTCGAAAGAGGAGAGACCAAGTGAAGACGCAACATACGTGCCAGCAAAAAAGTTGAACGAGACGTACTCGTTTATCAAGGACTCGACAGCGACGACGATCAGCGACAACGTCGACGATCCGCGTGCTCAGCGTGCGAGAAAGAAAAAATGGAAACCGGTGAGGCACAGTCCCCGCGTGGAATTCTGTTTAGCTGATCCGGACAGAAGCAGCCACGTTTACAATCCACTGGTTAATTCCGTTTACCTTGGAGAAGCCAATGGTAAAAGCTGTCGCGAGAGTTTGAAAGTTAGGGACAGTTTCGAGACGGACGACACCGCGAAGGAAAACGGAAACCGGTCGCGTGTCAAGTCGCCTTCCGAGAGCTTTCGATCCTCAACGAACAGAATTTTAGGAGAAAAACGACTGAGCGCAGCGGAATTTCCTTCATGGAACAATGCTTGCGACGATTTCGAAATTGTACAGAATTCGCAGAAGAGTCTGCACGAAGATTCTCAAGCTGTGACTGCGCCGATTGAAAGCATCGACGCGATAGATGAAAATTCAAGGAAAGACGCGATGCGTTTATCCGAAGAGAATTCCCCGTCTTTGTCTTTTAACAAGCAACTTTTTGACGAATTTTCCAATTCCGACGAGACGAGTGAATCCGAAAGAAAAAATCACGAAATTCCTAACAGTAAGATACAAGAAGTAACGTTACGAAATGGTCAACCAAATACCGACTCGCACGAACGAGTGAAAACTGCCGAGAGAGACACTGACGAACGAAATATTAGCTGGAGGAATTCAACTCGATCGGTGAGAAATGAGTGTGAAAAGAGCGATCCTGGACATTCAGATACAAATTGGATCGAAATGGAGGCTGATGCATTCGATACAGACGTTATGCTACAACCGACTAGATCGAGCACGCCATTCGTGAACATTGAGAATTGTTCTTGGGCAAGCAAGTGTGACGAGGGTGAGGAGAATCTGAGAAAAGAACAACAGCCAGGAGATCTCGAATGGAAGGAGGAGATCGACGTGCGAACAGGATCTGAGATGTTGTATCGCGTGGAAAGCAGAGGTTCAAATTGCTCAGACTCGACGATGCGAATCGACAAGCTCGAGGAGATTAACTTTGAGATTGCTTCTTCCAACGGTAGCAGACGCGGCGAATATGAAATCCTTCCAAGAATTTCATCTCTGACGGAGCAAACGGAGAGAAAATGTTCGTCGAGAGACGCTTTGTCTTCTTCTTTGTCAAAGAGGAGAGAAGACAGCTCGTCGAAGATCGCATCTCCATCAACGAGTATGCGAGTAAAACTTCCGAACGTCCAGAGGAAAGAGATTGCCAGTCAAATAAATATTTGCAACTGTCCGCCGAAAGTTTTGCCAAACGTCAAACCGAGCGCTTCCGACGTCTCTGGAAACGCTTGCGCGAACGTTGAAATCGGTGAAGCCTACGTTGCGCAGGAGTCATCGGAGGATCGAGATAGAACGAACTTGGGCGAAAGTAATTTCAACGGCAACGTGACTGAATCCTCGGCGAGTCAGTTCGATGCAAACCTGGGGAAAGACGATTGTAATTGTACGAGAGAACGTGCCATTGCCAAAGACAATAACGATTCGAACGTAACGGAGAACAGGAGGGCTGCGAAGAGAAACGTCAGAGACGTCAGAGAGCTGCGGGAAATTTACAAAAATTACTCGGCCAAGGATTTCGATTGCGACAGCGACAACAGCGTGGAGCGTCACGCGCAGGACGATGCAAACTACTTGAAACGTTCGTCAAACAGGAGCGACGAGGCGAAGCAGAATCAGCGTAGCTTACGATCGATAGTCCTGTCGGAGTCGTGCTTCAAGTTGAGCCAACGAGTTCGGCTGGACGACTCGCCGGCAGCGTTGAGATCACGCCGGTCGCGGATCGTCGAGATGGAAAATCGTATCCGCGAGAACATGAGCAGCGTGTTGAACGAGAGCAGCGACAGTTTGGCGTCCTCCGTCGAGCAGGTCGAGTCTGTCGAGGTGGAAACGATCGAGGAGATCGGCACCAGGAACAGAAGCATCAGGTTCAGGATATTGCCGGAGATCAAGGGCCGCGTGGCGATGAAAAAGAAACGCGACGACGCAGAGGAAATCGACGGCGATCAAACGTATTGGGAGAAGGCGACGAGAGCCTCGAGGAATCGGTTGATCAATCTCGACCCACCGTGTCAGGGGGCGAGCAGGTTTCTTAAGAGGAATCAAAAATTTCGTATCCTTCCACCCGTTCCCAGTAACTCCTCCTTGACGAATCACAGGTAGGAGTAGGCTTGTTAGATCGTGTTTCTTTCCAGAATATCTGAAATATCGAAGGACGAAATCGTAGAAATTCTCTCTGTAGAAATTGTCGAAAGTTTGTCGAATCGCGCGCGCTATCGATGCTGTCA